AGTAGTGCTTGAATTGTTTTGTTGGAAAAATTAATTTTTTTGGTTATTGTTGAAGAAGCCAATTAATTCATTGGTGGAATTCGTGTCAATGTGGAGATTGTTAAGAATTTGGGTGTGACTCGAATTTCTTATTTGAAATATTGAAAATTTTTAATTGAAGTGCACGTCAGAAAGAATTCAAATTTGGAATGGTTATTGAAGTCTTATGTCAAGTTGAAATTCTATTTTGGAAACTCATTGAGAGTTGGAAATTGATATTGAACTTGAAAAAGAAGTTGAACAGAGAAAACAATTAAATTTTTTTTTCCAAGCAGGTTGCTCGGCGCCGTGGCGCCTTGAGGTGGGCATAACGGCGCCACCCGTTCTGTTCTGTTTTCCACATTTTCTTCTCCTATTTCGTTTTGGACTCATTTTTTGACATCATACTTCGCCAACAATTCTACCAAGAAGATTTGGACGTCCCCTATAAATATTAGGCTCTTCTATATAATTATATAAGTGTGAGAAAATATATTACTAGAATTATATGATCTATTGTAATTTTCTTTCTTCTCCATTATTTTTAAGCCAATAAAATCTCTTAATTCCTCTATCATATCCTTGTCTTATTTTATTCTTTTACTTGACAACTTCAACATCTCAATTCGGTGGTTTGTTTTACAATATTTTGCCCAATCAATTTATTATTTTTTGAATTATATTTTTGTAGCGGAATAAAGATATTATAAGATATACCTACTTTAAAATATATATATGTATATATCAATCGATATTATATTTTAATAAAATGCTTTAAAATATTTTCTAAAAATTTTAACGTGTTTTCTGATTTTTCAGAATGATAAATTAAGCATTTTTCTCCAATTTAAAAAGAAAAAGAAAAAAGAAAAAAAAAACTGAATAAATTTAATATCCAAAACTGAAATGCATAGCAAACATGACCTTAGCTTTTAAAGCCAAACATGTCAACTCAACTTAATGAAGTTGAAAGAATCACGACTGAGTGGATCAACAACTATTCAAGTAATGTCGATTCAATCCTTACCGACGAGAGAATGGTGATCAAGTTGAACATCTTGAATTTGATCGAGTCAAGCTTAGGTTGTTGTCATCTCTATCAACAACAAAAGGGGAAAAAAAAAATCGAATTTCAATAACCTCCCTATATATGAAAGACATTTTTAAGAAAATTCGGATAATAAAGGAGATGCTTTAGAAGAATATAAATATTGGGAGTGGAATCCATTGAGCAGAAGAATAGTATTGCTTTAAGGTATAAAGTGACCATTCTACTGTGTAAAGATTTAAAAGGAATAATAATAATGAAATAAAAGGACAGAAGATCCCATTTTCTTTTATCAGAATGCTTTATTTTTAGATTTTGTTTGCCTAATATCTTCAAGAAAATATGCCCTATCAATGATTACGTAATTAATCTTATTCTCTCTGTGTATACCATTGAGTATATTCATTTTTTCTTTGTTTTTTTGGCTGTATATTCATTATATTCGTTTTGCTTGATTTAATTTAATTTAATTTTTTATAGAATTTGAATGTTTCTTGAATATTACTCACCAACAAGAAACATTTATCATCAATTAGGATTAGGTATGGTCGGATTCGGTTCGGTTCGGTTCTCGAACCAAAATTATCGAGTATTTAGTAAGTGGAACCATCGAGTTCAAATTTAATTATGGAACCGTTCGAGTTCGGTTCCATTCGATTTAGTTCGATTCGGTTCTATTCAGTTTTCGAGTTTCGTTCAATGATTAATAATTTTTTATATTTACAATAACGCTACACTAGTTCGACTATGACATGTTCAACATTAACTCTTACAAAATAATGAAGTTCAATCTGATGATATCTTTTGCGCATCTTTTTGTTAAGTTCTTTATAAATTTGACTGTTAAAATCACAAAAAAAAAAAAAAAAAGATAGTCAGTTCACAATAATAGAACGGTAGAAACGACATTACGGCAGAATAAGAGATTGGGGTTGATTAAATTGGGTTGGATGAAAATTAGAAATAGTAAAATCATATTTTGCGTTTGAGCTACATTAATTAGTTAACAAATTCATTTAGACAAAAATAAAATAATTTGACTTATTTAAAATAAAAAATTAGATAGATTCGGTTCTTGGTCTAGAATCGAAAATCGAATCAAACCCGTCGATTCTCCGTTCAAATACTCATTCGAGTATTTAATTTAAGAAGACCCGCTCGATTCGGTTCAATTCGATTCGGTCCAATTCGGTTCGGGAATTTTGTCCAACCCTAATCAATTTATATCAAACGAAAAGAATATTCAATTTAAACATTTATCATCAATTTATATCAAATGAAAAGAATATTCAATTTGGTCTATAAATTAGTTTACTTAATGTATAATAAATGCTCTAGAGAAGATATAGATATAACTAAATAGAGTAATGTTATTCATCCTCAGTGGGGATGAAAACACAGTTTATGTGACTTTAAATGATAGGTTAAATGAAAGGTGAAATTAAACGATTTATTTAATTTCACATATCATTTAATACCATATTGACGCCACGTAAATTGTGTTTTCATCCCCAGTGGGGTTGTAACTACAGTTTATGTGGCTCTAAATGATAGGTTAAGCGAAAGGTGAATTTAAATAACTTATTTAATTTCACATATCATTTAATGTTACATTAACGCTACGTAGATTGGGGTTATAACCCTAATGGAGCTAAATAGCATTACTCAAATAAATATATTCTCAAGTTAAATTTTGAACTTTAAGATAGCGGTGATTTATCAAGGTATCAAAGTATTAGAACTCAAGTATGACTGCCACTATTTAATCACTCTATCTAAATAATTTTTTTAAATTTAGTTTTTAATACTCACCCATCATGTGTAGACTGGATTTACACCGACATATTCCATAAATGGTACCATTAGACTTAAATAGGAGTCTTTCGTTTTTTTCGGTATCATGTTGAACAACTTTATCTAAACACTCGAATATTTTAACTTCATAAAAATGTTCTAGAAAGTAAATATAGTCCACCCAAAAAAAAAAAAAAAAAAAAAAATACAAGCAAGCCAGTATTATGACTTTGGTTTATGGTGGAANCATTTCAAACCCAACTTTAAATTTAGTAAGATCGATGAAGGATTCTTGTCGCTATCTTTTATAACTTAAACTTTTAAATAACTATTTAACACAATCCACTCAAGTTCGCGTTAGAATTAAATTCCTATGGTTTACAGAATATTCTTATCAGTGTCGAGTAGTCGAATAGACATCTTATTTATCCCATTATAATGAATACCACATAAAACTAACTGATAAAAAATGTACATCTAACAGTTGATAGAATCTGATGCCACTGATATATATGTTTCAGATTGAATCGATCAAAAAATGATCACAACTTTTTTCAGGGATGGAATCTGATCAGATATATGCCCCTTTTGTTTAAAGAAACTTTTTGATGCATGCAAAAAAACATTACAGAAGATGAACCCTAAAAAAAAAAGGTTGCATGGAATCTGTAATTTAGTTGCTGATATATTCATTCTCAAGAAAGTGATTTTCAAATAAACTATCAGAAGATGCAATTGCATAGGTATAAGGTGTTATTACACTACTGATGTTTCATGTTTAGTGGCTAAATATTCATTCTCGAGATGAACCCTAAAAAAGCTGCATTAAAGATGTTATTAAATGCACAATGGATAGAGCCGGTTCAAACATTAGGCAAGTAAGGGGTCGTTTTCCACGATTTTCACTTTTGCTTTCAATAAAAAAACTTCTGAAGAAAGTTAACTTAATTTTTAAAAGCAGCTCTTATTTCAGAAGTTTTTTCAGAGGAAGCCACATTGAACTAACTTTCTCTAAAAACTCTTCTAACTTAAAGAAGCACTTTCACAAAATTAGTCAAATCCTAAATTTATCATAACAATACTTCTGTATCATGTTGGGTGATAGTTAAATTCCCACAACGATTTCTTATCCAATTTTCAACAACAATTTTTAGCCATATTCTGTTTTCTAAGTTTGATTTATTTGACATGGAAAGTATTTAATAACTAAAAAAAAAAACTAATTCATTTAGAGTGTATTTGAACCACATTATTTTGGAGGAATATATTTTTTCGGTACAAATGGATTTCCCCATTTTGAAATAGTAATTTGATGGAGAATACAATTGAAAATGAGTAGAAAAATGAAAATGAAAATTTTAATGTGACTCAAATAGGGACTTAATTATTATTCAAAATTCTAACCTACTGATTTTCGTGTCTCATATTACAAATTTAACTGACAAAAAATATGTTCTATTTTTATTATCTAAATAATAGATTTTTAAATTATTTTCATAATTCTATAATTTGATTATACACAAGTAAAATATTCCAAACAATATTTTGAATTTCGACTTTTTTTTCCATATTGTTATTTTAAAATTGATAGGACTTTAATTTAATTTTTATTATTTTAGATTATACTCCATTAATGCTATTTTAAGAAAGAAAAAAAATCAGAACTTTTCAATATATAACATTCTACAATATATTAATTCAAATATTACTAACATCAATACAAGCAATTCCAGTACAAAAAAACCAAAACAAGCAAGTTATTCACCGTCAAATAAATAATTTATTTACTCAGTTCGAAGTAGGGAAAGGAAGTAAGAAATTTATTTGTCTTAATGTCTAGTCTATTCAATCCTCTGTATCAAAAGGCATTAAACAAGAGTAGCATTGTCCTCAAAAAACATGTCTATTATTACAATCATCAAGATCCGGCTCCAAACACTACCATATAATTCAATGTTACAGACGATTTGTCCTATCGAAAAAAGCCTTCAATTTGCGAAGAGAAATAGGTAGCCTAAACAAAAGTGTTAAAAACTCATCCAGCTGAAGCTTGTGATTTTTCAGACGCGAGGGATGTCGAATGATAATTTAGTTACCGCTAACTAGCCTCTATTCTACTAGAAGACACGAAAACAAGTCTTCAGTACGTTTTTTTCCTCACAACCAACTTTCTAACCTCTTTCTTTGCAGTCGAGGATGACCCTGAAATGGACCCCATCGCAGCTTGGTATAAATCCTTCAATCTACAAATGTGAAGTTCATTTGAATTTAGTCACTGATAAAAATGTAAAAAGAAATAACAACATTCGTGATTAAAAAGCAGACTGAGACCATCCCAGCTACCTTGGCATACAAATAAAGAGCATGATCACTGAAACTCCAACAACGAGAGGATATACAGGAGCCGGTGTCAATTCCTGAAGGCCAGGAAAGAGTATAAACATATTATTGCTGTTATACATATATCAAATTGGATGTTCCTCCACATAAACTACGGAGTTAAACATTGCCAAATAGACAACCAAAAAATTTCTGTGATGAAGGCGTAAAGAAATTCTTGGAAAAATCAAGTGTATAAACCAAAAATAAACACTTCTCCTGGTAGAGATAATAAGTCACTTGCATCAAGGTTGCAAGTGCTTCTTTGAAAGAAACTATCATTGCTGAACAGCTAAAGATTACCTGTTTATGGATGTCCTCTTCGATTCTATAGCTTAAGGGACCAACATGAATTTGAGGGTGCCTCTCTAAGTCGATCTCAATAACTTCAGATTCAAATTTATGAGCACTGGACGGCATAGCAGATTTGAGCTGCAGGAGGTGTTTGCTCTTCGACAAGCCCTTCACCTGAAAGAAATTTGACAATGGCAAGGGAAAGATGGACTCAATCTTTGACGGATCACTAGTTGACCTGATTTCCACCCGGATATGCGAATTCAGCTCCTTGATCTTTTTTCCCTCAACATGGCCACTTAAAATAGTGGTTTCTGGCTGTTCAAAGACTACAAAATCTAATCCTTTTATGTCCTCGTGATCAACCTGCAAAATAGAGATCCAACAAATATGGTCGGACAAATGCATAGGTTCAAAACAAGGAAGAAAAAGATCAGATCAAGAACATAAACACAAACTTAAAAAGAGCAGTCTGGAAAACACATCGCATGGACATCGCAACTTGATAATAATCTATTGCTTTATATCTCCCTGTAGATCTAGTCATGAACTAGGGATGAAAATGATTGATGTAGCTGAATCCGAATTTAAAGAGAACAAGGCTTAGTTTCCTCTTCATATGTGGTTATACACATGTTTAATGCTCTCGGTTGATTATTGCTTATCCAGACCCATGCTTGTACCAGATATGACAATCTAATTTGATTTTCTTTACCTTCCCTATTCTAACTTGTCACACTGAAATTGCGTCAACAGGAGCCTCTTTAGGTCTCTGCCAGAACATGTCCTAGTCACCTAGCTGTCACTGTGATTCAGTGGGGTGTGTAACAATACTATAACACTGTTTTAGATTTTTACACAAATTTGATAAACGTTTTTAGAACTAATAATTCTTTCAAGGAGACTAATTTAACACACCCATGACCAACCTACCTCAAAGAAAGCAAAAAAATAAAATAAAACCATATCCACTTTCACTAAATCATAAAGAAATATATGATCGAAGGAACTACCATACATTGGTCCCTTCAAACCAAAATTTTGTTTCTTACAACTAAACAAAGCAATATGAAATGTTCTAAACCAGACAATCAACATTGTTATTATCCTTTAATCTCCATTACTAAATTCCATGGTGGTTTCAATTTGTAGAATGAGCAGCATATTCATTAAAATCATGTAGAAGTCGAATGGGCAGTGGATTATCAAGAAATCATCACACAAGGAATCTTCACCACTGACTTGGGTATTAAAAAAATAAAGAAAAGAAATGAATTTACATTTATTGGTCGAGATATCATAGTATTATTCCAAAAAAAAAATTGTTTAAAATCAACATTCATACGAAATACTGCATAAGTAATTGAGCAAACATTTTGAAATTGTAGTGTGAGCTGAAAGATCATTGATATATGGACAAAAAACCATTGATACTGCTGTTTTTACATATTGTAAACATCAAAAAATGAACTGACCTTAACAGTAACAGATTCCGGAGATGCACGTTCAATGTGTGTTCTATCAAGTTCACCCTTCCTTGCTACTTTTATTATGTAGGTAGTATCAGGTTGGAGTCCCCTTAGGCGATAACTGCCTGATGAATCTGTTACAGACTCCTCATAAAATCCTTTTGACTCCGCCCTAGCTTCCACTGAGATACCTTCTACAGACTGACCAGACAAGAGAGTTACTCTGCCAATGGCACTGCGGAGAGAGTGAAGCAATTCATGGTCATGTCAATATATACTAGGTATAAAAGGACGCTGCAAATGAATTATGACAAGAGAGGGCTTATCCACCCAAAACAGCAAAGTTCTCTGTGTATATGAGAGAGAGAGAGAGAGAGAGAGAGTTTAATCATATCAGGTGGAAGAAAGGTGGTTTTAGATGAAGCAGAACATACATAATATAAAAATTTATGCCAAGAAGCCGCACTACTAAAAAGACAGTGATTCGCGCATGAAAAGTTGGGGTATGAAGAAAACATATCTTAGAACAATTAGCCATCACATTTTCAGTAAGAAAATCTGAAGAATCCACATAACTAGTCACAGAGAGAGTAGGAATAATAACTAGAAAACTTGAAGCATCTGTTCTCGTATAAAATGACGTGACATTTGCGTAAATTTCAAAGTTGTAAGAGCTGAACATAAAACATGAGGGGAGTAAATGATGACTTCTTGACAAGAAAAGGATATCATTTACAGTTCACAAAGAGAAGCAGAGTATGAATAAGGAAGGACTTAAATCGAAATAAAGAAACTCGAGCACATTGACAACCAACCCATAACCTTCATCACAGCTATTGTAACAGATCACTACTTAAAGACCCAACACATGGTTACCTATAAGCAACACGAGTGGCATGAAAGACAATTTCCCTGGATTCTCCAGAGCCAAGTTCAATTGCCTGAGTGGGAGGAGAGAAAGCATATTCCTGGAAGCAAGAAAAGAGTAACAATCATTTATTATAATAACATCTACTGCAATGTGATATCACATGTACACTCAATACTATCTCAATAAACTTAAAACCTTAAACACCCGATGCATGAAATAAATAACTCAAAGGCTCCCACTCCATCAGTTGATTTCAATAACGAATGAGTGAAGCATGTCAATGAGGGAAAACATAAGAAATCAGGTTTTATTAAACGGAAGACAAAGTTAAGTAATAATGATTGGTTTGAGACTCTTTCCTTCTGACCTTCCAGAGGACAACTTTGACCAGGACAGTGCATCCTAAATGCAGCATTGTCACAGATCAAGATAAAATATGGGGTGCGCTTAAGTACCAATAAGGGTGAGAGAGAAAAAGATGACAGTAATGCAAGCATGGCATTAATAGCATTTGGGATGAAGTACCTTCAATAAAGGTCGAAGATAGAAACTCCCTGGAAACAAGTTATCAAACGTAAACATTCCACCAACACCAGTTACTGAATTGTTCCTATATCCATCTTCACCACTCAATGATAAAAGAACAGAAGGGAAAGGCTCGTCCATGTTTTCTCTAGAATATATCTGCACAGAAATTTGACTGAACTTCTGACAAGAAAAGGAATGTGGTCCAACTGGCTTTACGTGATAACCAGGCTGCAAGAAAGAAGAAAAGTTAAGACAGTTTATATGTTGACAGCAGTGAACTTTATATAAACTTCTGTAAGTTTCCCCTAGCATGGTGAACTCACAAGCTTCCAAGAGGTTTCTAATAATGAGTATCCTATGCATTGCTTCCGATGGTGAAAAAAATAGACATTGACCAGATTTATTTTGAATTAAGTCATTCATTGAATATACCTTCTATGGAAAAAAAGGTTGTGAACTAAATGGAGTTCAATAGGCTGGTCATAAGTTCATAAAATTAGGCAAGGCTTGCAACACCTGACCATAATAATGAGGGGGAAATTGAAAATAAAATTCATCTATCAGATAATTAGTACCAAAATAATAGTGAATTTTCATCTATTTCAAGAGTAGGGGAAGGGAGAAAGGAGCGACCAATTAGGACCCTAAGAATCCAGTGTGGACACAAATTAGCATGAGCAAGAAGTAGGCTTCAGCCAAGAGTTTTCGCTTTAAACGTCAAGGAACCTGCTCCAAAGTCCACATGTCTGCAAGGCCACCTCTATTAATAAAGGATTATATGGTTTTCACTATAGGTTGAAACGTAAATGTACAATTCAAGGTAACCCTTAGCGAAGAAGCAGCATTTTATCCAAATAAAAAGAAAAGAAAATGCCAGGAGGGTTGTTACAATTACACCAGGGATAAGACCAGAGCAAAAATATCATTGTAAATTGAAAAATGAAAGGCATGATTGGGAAAAGGTAAAGTCAAACGTTATACTATAAAGTTTCAAAGATTAGCCAGACACAAGTACAGACTAAAGATACAGTCTATTCCACCAATACCAACTTCTCATGCGGCAGCTTCAAATATTAATTCTAATTCATTTGCATGGGCCCACATAGCAAAGTATACCCCGGAAAAGTACAAATTAAACACAGCTCAAATGTCAGCAATGCAGTGTGGCATGGGAAAATCAACAAGACCCTTTTTTTAAAAGATTGTTGAAAAACTAGCAGCAGCAGCAGCATCCTGATTGGTATTACTGAAAGCTATAATATAGGCTGACATCTTGTGAAAGATAAATGCAATTGCAAACTTAACTATTTCTATCTAGCTTTCAAACCTTTGATGCCTCAACGGTGTAAGTTATATCGTCATATAGAGGTCCTGCAACAAATAAACCATCCATCCCCGTACTGGTTTCAAGAGCTAAATCTCCTTGCTTAAGTGAAGCGCTATGGCTTTCTCTCTCAGCAGTAACTGTTATATGAACATCAGAGAGTGGAGGAGAAACTGATCCTTCAATATATAACCCCAGCCGACCAGAAAATGGAGAAATCGGAGCTTGGCAACCATCTTGTGTCACTGAAACCTAATAAAAAAAGGTGAAAAATCTTGAAAAAACTGGCATTTGAAAGACAGACTATATAAGTTGAAACAATAGTCTCAAGACTACTTACATATTGTTGTCTTGGGTAAAACAAAATTTTCTTTCCTCCATTCCTGTAGCACATGAAAAATGGAACAAGGGCATACAATTTATCATGGCAATGCTGTAAGTAATTATTCAGGATATAGCAATATGTAACTCAAGCGATGAATAAAGACGGAAACCTATGTTGCATGAACAAGATATGCCGAAATGTGATTTTCCAAAAACGCAGGACATGGACACATCAGAGACACGTTAATTTTAATTCTCTATGAGTAGATTTATGTATTCTCTCTCTATGTTAATATTTCTTTTTTATAATAAAATCAATTTTTTACTTAGTTTTAATTTTTTGTGGCTGTTCATTGCATTATTAGGGATGGAGGACCATGAAGATTCACATCATTTTTAGACAGATCAGACATCGTCTCTCTATTAATCATGATACTGTTTCCTACACTTATCGAGAGGGGAACCAGGTAGCTGATTCTCTTACATCTGAGGGGTGGGATCAAGCCATTATCAGGAGTTTGATCTCCTTGACCTATCACGACGTCTTCGAGAGAGAGATATTGACGTCCTAGTATTAGAATTAGTTTGATTTCCATTTGCTCGTTTTGTATTGGAAGTAGTACATACCTTCATATGTCGCATTTTTTTTTGCTTTTGGGAGGTCAAGTTTATGCCCCCTTTCCTCTTATTCTCGTGGTTTGTGTTTTTATATATACGGTTGGGAATTCAAATCCCCACCAGCGCCTAAAAGCCTGCTAAGGTTGTAATGGTGTTTTGCTTTTAAAAAAAAAAAGGTAACCCTAAAGTTCAGTATCCTATAAACTAAGATTACTAATAATGTGCTGACAGTCTTGCCAATAAAGTCAATCCGAAAAGAAGAAGCAAGTTGAGATACGAGTGAAAAAACTGCAACGCACATACCGCGTGTCTCGAGGGACAAAGATGAGTTTTTCACCAGAATTAACCCACACTGAATATTCGTAGATAGCAGCAGTTGATTGATCAATTCCACGGGAGACAAGTCTGGCAGTGGTACCATTGAGAACAGTTCCTTCATTGTCTAACATATCCACGGGTATATGATCAGGTAAATTCTCATCACCACCGACTGAATTAGTATCAACATTTATATGTCCACTGAGAAGATATTTCTCTCCTTTTAAATAAATGGGCTGCAGAAACAAGAAACAAATGAAACCAATAGGAAAATGAAAATACAAAAAAGACGTACATGTCCAACTACCACCAGAAAAAAAACAAAAAAAAAAGAAAGAAAGAAAAAGAAATTCTTAATATCTACCGATGGATTAGATGTATCAATTCTCAAGAAGGAGTTCCCAAAAGAAATACACGAGTCTACAAAGTGGAGTTCATGCACACCAGGAGACTTCAGACAAATGCGCTGTGCACCTTTCTGAAATTTGAAAAGAAAAATTATAAAAGAGGGCTTCATACAAACAGAGAGAGAGATTACGAAGTTCAATATTCAAAGGTTGGGGCCAACCTTTATTTTCAAATCCACACGAGAACCATCTGGTTGATTCAGGTAAGCATCCGCGCCATGGCTGGAAGTCACACTGACCCAATAGCCTTTTTGAACAAAAGTAATCCCTTCAACATTGTCAGCACCCACATCCAAATCAATAGCACTCTGTTCCCAGCACCATATATCATCTCCTGACATGGTTGCAGGGGAATAGTTTTTGACCTAGAAATGGAACAAAAAGATTCATGGGAAATGAGAAGATCACAAGAATCGGTAAGTAAATAAAGGATAACCAGATAACTGGCGGGGCATGTACTATGGACTGACATCTAGAATTTTATGGGTAATTATTATCAGGTGACACCCATAATTGATCGGAGGGGAGAATATGTGCAATGGGTGAATGTTGTTACTGGAGATAACATGGCAACAATTTCAGAAAGTGGAGATAACCTTAAAATGTAAGCAGCTGACAATTTAAAATGAGAAGCAACCATGGAAAGAGTACTAAAAAAATCAAAGATAATATCATCACAGCAGAAACTAAATTAATCATGACAAGATGCAGTAGGTTTCAAAAGTAAAAAGAATAAAAAGCTGATGGCATTACCTCAATGCTGTATTTTCCTGGGAGGACATTGGAAAATGAAAATTCACTACTCTGATCAGTCAAACTAATTGTCATCTCTTCTTTACTTCTACCATCCTTTTTTAGAAGCATAACTGAAACAGAAGAACCACATGTTTCCTTGCAGACTACTGAGCCACGGACATCTACTTGTGCCTAAAATTTCAAATAAGTACATGTAGTAAATATAAAAGCAGGAGTTAATCAGGAATTAGGGACCAAAAAAAAAAAATTTGCTAATGACAAATATAGAAGTGGAGCGTTAGCTGCTTTAATAAACCTCATAATAATATATATAACAAGACAGATCATAAAGAAAATATAATTGTCAATCATTTAAACACAGATACTATATATTTATATTTATATGGAGAAATAAAAGCATTTTTCGGCTCTTCTTGAGTTTCTAAACTCTCACCTGATAAAATTTGACACCTAGTAAAGGACTGTTGACTGAGACATCAATGTGAGGTGGAGAGAACATAAGTTCTGGAGCAGTATCAGGCGTTGCTGGAAATGCAGATAAGCGATATTCACCAGGTGGAACCTAAGGAGGATTAAGATTTCAAGGTGATGCAACTTTGGTAAAGAAACGAGAATGACAAGCAATCAAAATGAAATGCCACACAAATGAGACAGCAATTGAACTAATTCTTGCATGTTTAAATATAGAAAGTGAACTGCTGGTAATTTATAGAAACCCTGCAATGCCCCCATAAAGCTATGACAAACTGTTAAAATGAAAACATACTAAACAGCCTGGAGAATAACTAAACTTAAATCATAAAGATGAAAGTTAAAAGCCAATTAGAAACTGAAAACCTGTCCTGCTGTCCATTTTGCCCCCATGGATTTTCCATAGGTTGGTTTTTGGTTTTAAACCATAAACCAGCTGGACAGAAAAGGATTTTACCCTTATAAAATGTGCGCAATAGCAAGATTTTAGAAATTATAAGTTAAATGCATACGAAATTGCATACAATGTTAAAGTTCGCAATATGTTTCTATAAGAAGGTTCAGTTGGGGTGTCATTTTCTATCTAATGCTAATAGATTATTTATGAGTATATTTGAAACAATGATCAGCATATTGCATGCATGTAATGATCATGCTTCTAATTAGAAGAGGCTGGCTTTCAGATTTGATCCTCATTTTTAAAGGACGTCGCCAGTGGTGCAAAAATTATTGTGGCATTCATGTTGCACAGCTAAAAAATTAGGATTACACATATAACTTAGTATGCCAAGTATCATTTGATTCAGTAGTCTAAAGCCACAAGGAAAATATTCCAGAAACAATGAAAATCAATTGGATGTATATTAAGTTATTAACATACCTCAAAGCAAAATTTCCCATTTTCATCAGTCTTTTTAACTTGCGGTTTGACATTCTCTGGTCCATGAGTCAATGCCACCTGGCATAAATATGATTTAATTACTGAAGAGAAATCGCAAGCATATAATAAGAGATCACGGGAAGTTTTAAACTTAAAGCCCCAATAAAAAGTATCTCACGTTTCTGTAAAGCAAATTGAGCAATCAGTTCATGGCTTTGTGCGTTTGTCCAGTGCATTCATGTGCATCTGCGGGCTGACAGGTTGATAGAGTGGGAATGTGGGATTTCTAAGTGCCTCAGTAAGAATTTGGCCAAGTATTCAACCCCGTAATTTTTCAGAATTTGAAAGCTCAGATATAGAATTCGTGTAGCGAAAGATAATTCTCTGAATATTCTCTTTTTTCTTTACGAAAACCCCACCCATATATTTTCATCTTGAAGCAATTCTCTGAATCCACAAGAGCTCACAATATCACAATTTATTATGAATAACTTCAGTCAGCAGAATGTTGGTACTGGAGTGATGTTGTAAAAGATTGTGTTTCAGGTTATGCAAAGATTTTTGAGCTCTTAGATAGGGAAACTTAACCACGGCTGGGATTCAATACATTGAGAAGTGAGAAGGTCTACAAAGAGAGATCAAATTAGTCAGGGAGGAGATGAGGTGGGGGCAGCAATTGCTCGATGCCTCAACCTGGCCAAGGTGAAGAAGGAAGAGAAGTGTGGGCATCTGAGAGATTCTCATTGGGAGGGCAAATTCATGGGGATGATTTGGTTTTAAGGAATTGTAATTTCACTAAAAGAATTTCAGTGTTAGGGTTCCAAAACCAGGTGATGAGATTGAGCAGAGACTGGTCGTTATTCATATAGTTTTGCAGCCCTGAAAGAAAAGAGCTAAATGTTGCTATAGTATAGAGCGTTCCTGAAGCGCGGAAAATGAAAGCCTTCCAGGAGATCTACAATTCACTGAAGCAAGAGTTGTTGGACAATGGGCGAAATTCAGATGGTTTCTACATCCTGACAAGTCAATTGGTGCAATTAAGTTGGAAAGCCTACTGAGACCTTTAAGGATGGTTTACAAATTACAAACAGAACTGAGGTTGTCTTTCTCAGCAACATATCTATGCTACCACTAGGAAGATGACGAAGAAAGCCCAAGGAGAAAACTGTGAGAGGGAGGAGTGGCATAGCACCATCAAGTAAGAAGAGGAGACAGATAGAAGGATACGAGGATTACTCAACTGAAGTTTCAGGTACGGAAGGTTTTTCTCGATAGAATAAAGGGGGGGGGGGGAGTTTTTGATTTGAAACCTCTTCCACCTGTTATCATGTATCTTCTTAATGGGCAGTTGATCAGTATTGATTTAATTCCAGGAAGTTTGTAACAAAGAAATAACTTTAGAGATGTGCTTGGAGTTACTCTGTCATGTAATTACAATATAGCATTATTAGGGTGGGCTTGTACTAGGGGTCATATAGTTTTTGTTGTTCCTTTTGTCTTTAACTATTACAGGGATTTGCATCTGGCATTATATCTGATAAATTCTCAACTTGTCAAAAAGATAAGTTTCAATAATGATTCACGGCTCGTTTATAACTTTAGCAAACTGCCGCAATCAACAAACTGCCACCATCCCCACCCAGTACACAAATCTGTACATATGAACACCCTCATTGCCGTCGTGCCTATTAAACAATCACATTTATTAATATCTTGTTGCAAATATCATCCACAAGGTCACCACCTAGTGCCTTCCCCAGTTACCAAAGTTTTTAATTGAATGATAATAAAATCCATTTCTAATAGGCTACAGATAGTGAATATTGAAAAAATGACTAATTACAAACGATTATCAAAAGGAAAAGGACAGAGAAAAGTCGAAGGTTGCTATCATATACATGATTAAGTATAAGGTATTGTTGACTGATCTATACATGGGAAATGTACTTCAGTTTAGATAATGAAAGACATTTTTAGAATATCCTTACTGTTGGTCTTAAGAGTTGGCTGCTTTAATTCATCAAAGGTTATATGTTCAAAAAAGGCCCAGGCCTAGCTCAAGCGATAAGAGCTAAGGCAAATGAACTGGGTTTGAACCACCTTTTGGGGGATGGAAATCCTTTGATCCCCTTTTTTTGACAAAAAAAAAAAAGTTACAAGTTCAAAATACGTGCAGGGATATATAAATATTACCTTAGCCCCATAGTCATTACTAATTGTATGCACCATGCCGCATATGTCATATGATACTGCTTTTATATCAGAAATTGACGCCATGTTCGGCAAAACCTAGGAATTTAATTACAAATTAGAGGACAAAAGACAAAGAAAGTTATTGAGAAGCTCGATAAAATCGAAAGGAGATCAAGTATTCTAGCTAAAATATCTCACTTTATAGTCTATTTAGTTTTCCAAGAGAATGATAAATGCAACAGTAAAAGCCATGGAATTGACTTACCAAAAAGTCGTTCAGAACTTCAAACTTATAGTGCTCCTTCTTAGCTTCAATCCTGTATCTTTTAGACGTAACCTAGAAGCATTAACCAATTAGCCATAAAAGAAAGGGAAAAGAAAAAGAATCAACACCATTACATATTAATGTTTAAAAGGAATTTGTCCAACAGAAAGATACTATGCATGATGCTGAGATAGGAAGAATTGGAATACCATTTAAAAATGCATGCATATTGTGATACTCTCTACCGAAACCATAATTTATTCAAGCTCTAAAAACAAGGAAAAGGATTTCAATAGCATGATAGTTATTATTCTTTAACTGAGTAAGCAATAAATAATGGGCATAACGCATGTAAATACAAAATAGCAACAACATTAACCATATCATAACAGAATTGGACAATAAATTGGGAACTGTTAATGATAACAAAAATAATAATAAACAAAGACAATTTTTAAGAAGTAGAAATTGCTGATTAGACAACCTCTGAGTTGAAGATGTGGCAAACTGAAACAAAACGTTGCTCTTATAAGTAGAGCTGCAGAAAGATAAACTTACCTGATCAAGTTTGTAATGTCCTTCTTTATCGGTTATTGACCTTTCATGGCCATCTACTATAATTTTTGCAGCATTCACTCCATCACCATTTCCATTGACAACACGACCCCCAACAGAGAATCCAGTAACCTAGTTAACACCGATGAGGCATACCATGTAGACGTTAAACAAATTTAGTAAAGAAATGATGTTTAAAAAACACCAGCATGAGTCTTGTCAAGCTACAGAATTAGGTTAAATTTGGTAATATCCATTCATAATATATTTATGTGAAGATACTAACGCATGCACATGTGAACAATGGTAATTACTTGCATAGACAGAAGCTTAAGTAAATCATAAAGCTATCTTTTCAAATGATACAGATAGTATAAATACAGAACATTCTGACTATAAAGGCCAACATAAGTAACTAGCAGGGTTGTCCTGCAGCAAAATATAAGCACATTTTTTTCGTGCAGCCTCTTGAACTATAAGTGCTTGGTTGGGTTTTCATTATAAGTTGTTGAAATTATAAGCAATAGAAATGAGTAGTGGATAAATGAGTAGTAGATGTGGATCATACGAAATGTGTCGTTAAAATTAAAATTTGACTTTGACCATTAATTATAAAGGATATTATAATGAAAGGCAAACAAGCTCTAACAGAGAAGAATATATTAATGAACATAAGTCAAAATTTATTATTTGTGGAAAAAATAATATTAGTCACGGAAAGAACACATAACCTGCTACATTACATACCACTGACCCTAATTGGCAAAACAAATATGGTTACACACCATAGAAATACATTTTCATACAATGTAAGGACAAACAATGTCACTTCTAATGCACAGATAAATTCGCACATATCTTTGGAAGCGGGTGTTCAGTAATAGCATCAAGAAGAACATGAAATGAAGTGGTAAAGCTCCTGCGTCATGAAGACTACTAAAATTGCACATGATGCAAAATCAAAAATTAGGCCATATTTTGCAGAACAATGCAGAGCACGTTCGGTTAGAATAGGACATCTATTTTAACTTGTATTCTATATTCTAGTCTAGCTAGAAATTAAAGTAGTAATAAGATAAATAATTTTCCTTTTCCATTTATGAATAACATAAACTAAGCATAAATTTCAACTTGATATCTGAGCAAGTTTGATCCAACTTGGATTAAACTTGAAATCGCTTCTGTTGTCCGGCAAACGGTATTGTGCCGCTCATCGGCCAAGTTTTTTTGTTTCTTTTTTATACATCAATTATTGTTTCGTTCTGGTTTGAAATCAAAGAAACCCAAAGTTGAAGCTGCTATACGCTACTGATTTGTGACACCACTCTAGCTCTGACTAATTTCTTACTGTGCAATCCAGTTGCAACCCTCTACTACAACTCCGACAAGTTTCTTGGAGTGCGAACCATTTGTGACCCCCTTCTGCAACTCCGACGAGTTTATTTTTCGATCCGCGACCCACCACCGACCATTCTCCATGCTGCGCAATCATTTTCCTTCATCGACCTAGCCCTTTGTTACACTATAGGGTTTTGTAAAATCCTTCTGATATTCATGATGCCAAATATCCTAGACGACCCTTTGTATTGGCCAACCCAGCCCTCGGGTATTCCCTAAAGTTCTAAGAGGTCAAACCTCTCTATCTTTAGATGCTATGAGAAGAATTCATCTACAGTGAGCTAGCACCATCCAATAGCTACTAACCTTACTCTCTGGTTTGACAACCCAAGTTCTGGCAACCCTTTTATTTGCATGTGAAGCTTCTATTTGCCGGAGACAAGTTTTTGGCTTACCTATTGGCTAATTGTGGATGCATGTATAGGGCCTTTACTGTGCCTCTCGTGCATGCTGTTTGTGTGTGGGCTTCTTGCCTACGAGTATTTTGATTCTGGGCTTTTGTTGTGCGTATGAGTATTTGTCTATGGGGTAATTCAATTGCTAGTGATCTTTCTATGCATCATTATTCAAGTTGGGCATGTCTAATATCTATACACCAACTTGAGGGAGAGTTAGAATAGGAGATCTATTTTAATTTGTATTCCATCTATCTTATCTAGCAAGGAATTAATGTGGTAATGGGATAATTTTTTTTCCTTTTCCTTTCATAAATATGATTGCACTAGTATAAATGGGATTGGTTGTATGTATAAAATTAACCTAAATTTCAACTAGTACTGTAGGCAAGCATCCTTACAGATATTAAGAAGACTGCCTTCATTATGATCAATATCCAAAAAACAACAATCAATCAATGCAAGTGGCTTTAAATTAGAGTTAATTACAAATTACAATGTCTCAGCTCCTTAATACATATACACACACAAAACACACACACACACACACACACACACACACATAACAGGAAGCAAGAAGCATGTATTGAAATGTTAAGGGAACATATCCATAAAGTATAACCAGTTTGGGAGAAAATTTCCAATTTAAGATAACTAAAACCATTGCTACTTTACCTGAAACTTCTGAGTGATTATAGCGTGATCGTGCGAAAGAGACACCAACAATGAAGGAGGTGAAACATCAAAAACCGTGTTATCACCCTTGTAGAAGGGTACAAGTTTGTAGATACCTGCAGGTATGTCGCCAAATCAATTACTAAGCTTTCGAAAGATTTAATGGGTCTTCAGAAACAATAATGGTGTCTATTATCATGCATTCCACAGAAGCAGATATTTTGAAGCACCAACTTTCTGTATGTTCTGATAAAGAAAACCAAGTAACATAGATACAAGGTTTGGAAAGGGGATATTCGTTTGCTTTCTTGATCAGAAATTTTTTACTTCAGAATAATCAGACCATGTATTTAAGCAGCAAATCCAAGATAAATTAGTTTTAGCAATCCTCGTTGTAACTTCAAATGACTAATACAAAAGGTCAACATCTGGAAAACCCATTCAGGAGAGTAGGTGAGCTAAATACCACAGAAAAAGAGAGAGGAAAAAATAAGCTATTTAGATAGGCAATGGCCGTTTTAGTATATATACATAAAAGCAACAGCTGAATTTATGCTCAGATCACATCAATGAGATAAATAGGACTACATTTCCCAGATCAAGATATAGCGAGGGGTGAAAACCAAGCCACTGCATGATATAAGAATTCCATCAAATCCATATTGAATCACAGAGTAAAAGGTCTGACATGTGGAAAAACTTTGAAATTTGAAGGCCAATATTGAGGAGACATGAGTTCGTGTATCAAAATTTGGGTTAAAAAACAAAAGGACCACATAAGACAACTGCAATCTGAAGGAAATATAACAAACCAGCAAGAACCATCGGTGATCAGTAATAAATTATAGAGCTATCAGAGTAGTACCACAAGGTATTGATTTAAACTTGAACATCCCATCAGCATCAGAGACAGCATGACAAAGAGCTTTTCCCAGTCCAGGTGCATTACCAGAGCCATAGGGGCAATCCACCTCTAAGACATCTTCTGAGTACAAGTAAATATGAACTCCCAATATGGGATTTCCCTATCATTGACAAGAGTTTTATTCATTACCAAATAGAATAACAGAATAAACAAAACAATTTCTTGGAGAATTAGGGGCACTGATGACCACAACCAAATCAACATATTACTTAGTTTGACAACAGCTCACAGATCCCAAAAAACTGGATGCAACTTGATACTTCATGAAGTATTACTCTGGACTCAGTCAGCAATTGATGAAAATAAGATCCATTCAAAGAAGAAACTAAGCTTTCAATACTATAGTCTCTCATTTTCTGATGACTAGATGAATGTTGCAACAAAGAGCATAACAGCAGGCAAGTTTTTATTATCTTGTAAAAGTATGTACAGGAACATCAGCACAATAAAGGTAGCACACAGAAACATTGTGCCTCTATAAGCAATATATGATCCTAACAACGTGCAATTGAAAGATTTATAAATCATATAGAAAAATATTATCAGTGGACACATAATAACATACAGATTGGCAGAGAGAGCAAATGATATAAGAAATCAATATTTCTAGATGCAAAGTTACCGTGCGGTGATTTTTAACATAATCAATCCGAACAGCATTAGAGAATGTTTGGCAGTGCATAAAAGCTCCTTATAAGCACTAAGACATGCACTTATTAAGCTATATCAAAATATTTGCTGCTAAAAGCTGAAAAAAGAACAAGAATAGAAAGAAAAACACACTAAAACGTTAACGAATATGTACCTGAGCAACCACAAATCCGCGAATATCATAGCCAGAAACAAAGAAAATATCTTGAACCACACCATTTTCATACCCTAATTCCACCTGCAAATGTGGTATGTACCCAGTGGCAATGTTACAAGAAATGAATGTTAATAATGATATAATCTTTAGTGAGAAAGAGGGGCCTTGGGACAAAGGACAAAGATTTAAGAAGTAGTAATTATGGTATGAAGGAAAGGGTTTTGCAGTAACATAATAGGAGAGGAAAATCTTTTAAGTGTATATATATATACACACAGATACACATGCACATAAAAGGTTTTCCTCTCCTATTATGTTAACTACAAAACCCGTACGAAGAAAAGGGGATGCCTGTCGTCACCTCGGTAGAACCCTTGACCTCAATCTTCAAATCACTATGAGAAGCACGTATTGTGTATTTTCCTATTTCCAAGAAAAGATATTGTTAAGAAAACGAACTCTCTAAAGAAAGAAGTGTTAAGAAATCATAGTAGGGTGGTGAAACTTCTAATTCGATGGAAGAAGATGTTACTTTCCTCCTGATACGCTTAAAGACTCCATCATCATATAGTATTTATGCACAATTATGTACAGTAAACGTCATGGTTTAGAAGTTATTGCATATGTTACTCATGCTAAAGTGCACCATGAAATTGGAAGGCAACCAGAGACCTGGAATGATGTTTGTGAATGAGTAACTCCCTGTTGACGATGTTATAATTGAAGACACAACATCTCCACTGGGAGACAATAGCTCGACGTTTACATTAGATGGACCTCCATTTTTACATGAACAGCTATCCCCACCAACTGCTCCCACAACTCTTCCACCTATGGTAAACCTGCAAGTAGTAACTCAATGAAGCTACAATTCTATAATACAGGTTGAGAACCCACAAGTCCATGGTTCAGAAATGCACATGCTAGAATGGCAAAGATTATAATGCAGGTAGTGACAATGATGCCAACAGCAAAACGGAGCAAATCAAACGATACAGCTGTAAAAAGAAAATAATAATTTACAAACATTTATTATACATACCCAGTAAACCGAAAATTTATATCTTCATTTGCATTGCAACCAGTGTGATCAACGACAACAGGAACCTAAAGAAAAAAAATTATAATGTCAGAATATGTGCAGATACACCAAACGACCAACAAATACAAAACTAACTTGCTTACTCGAAAAATTAAACACAGATATCCTTCAAAGGAAATATATTACAATATCACAATACTCAACTTGTTCTGGGTCCCATGACCATCCTTCAGGTCCCTTGATCTTAATCACAAAAGAACCCTGCATCCAAGAATGAAATCAGGTGATAAAACTGGGAGAGAAAAAAGAAATTGCTGTTACAGAAAATGAAACGAGCCACTGAAAAGCAATTGCATCTAAGTAGAGTTGCACATAGTTGAGTCCAACACACTCGAGAAGTAATTAACTCCTTGACGTAGCAACTTGCAAATTGATCCAAAAAAGAGACGCAAAATCAATTATTTCTGTTCGGCTTTCAACCACTTTTTCTCTTCAACAAAGTTGACCATGTATTCGAATACTCTATCAACACATTGAATTACAGTATTCCACATTTAATGATAATTGAAGCTTGCAAACATAGTTTCTCAGAAAGAATGACTGACATTACAACAAGGACCCTTCTACTTTTGATGCTTCAGAGATCATTTCCTTTCCTTTTTTGACCACCATCGGTTGATAATCTCATGACTTGTTAAGGTTCAGTAATGAAGTGTTAATTCTGATGCAAAAAAAGATAAGAACAGGTAAAGAGTAGAATCAAGCTTTATACTGTTCAACCTGATGTAGTGATGCCTTGGGCAATGCTAAAGCTTGGGCCATTTCTTTCACCAGCTCAAATGAACATTTATAGAGCTAAATTAGAGTGAGTTTAAGTAGCCTGATCAATATAAACAATTTTATAGATGTGATCTTGATGAGACAAGCTTAAACTGTATTTGAGTTAGGCTTGTTTCAGCTATCAAGTTTGGTCTTGCACAAGCACTAGAGGACCCAATCCCGATCTGAACCCTATTCCCAAGGATCTCAAGACCATTTACACTCCTAAGTAGATCCCCAAACCCCTATTAAAATTTCAAGTTCACCAAGTTTGACACCCAAGACAAATTCCATGTCCCTGCATCATGTTCTCTAGTATCTAGACAAAATCAATGAGGCATCCATAGCTTGGAATTCATGTTCACACAGGTATTTTTACCAAAAATAAATAAATAAATAGTTGAAGGGAACTAAAATCACAGCATTGCAAGAAAATCTTATCCAATGAAGTACCTTGTCGTAAACTGGAATGAAGTAGTAACCATTTGGAGCACATTGGGTGCTGTCCTTAACTAAACCATCCAAAGTCCGAAGCTCAACCTACATAGCAGTGTCTCAGTATCTTTATTCTTATTTATGCCCAAAAAGGTATATAAACAAATCAAATCTAATAGTATCTCATGTATAAAAATAATCGAGACGAAATCCAATTCCCATACAGTAACATGAGAATAATCCAATTTCGCTGAAGTTGACTTCCTTGATTTTATCAACGAGGAACTCGCCTGCAAAATAAAAAATACATTTCACTTCCACAATAACCCAAGAGTGAAGTTCAAAAATAAAATCTGACACCGATTAGACTCAAAAATCAGATGACTTATAGAAAGATCCACTAAATCTCTGTCCCATTAGACCAGAAAACGAAATCATTTTCGGAATTTAGTCACTACCTCAACAAATCCGCCACATCCTTGAATGGAATCAGCAAAAGCCTGTGGGAAATTGCAGGTGAGTATAGTTATAAAGAGTGCCGCAAATGAATAATAATTTTTGGAAGCCATTGAAATTTTTCGATCTGAGATAAGTACACGGAGCTCTCAAATCTCAATTGTACATGATTTTTGGTTTTGGTAATATCGAAAAGTTGGCTTCAGATTCAATGAAGCAATCTCCAGGGTTTATGGGTTTCATCTTTGTTGATCTGTCGCGTACATTTATATGGAGAGAGACCGTCTTTGCCTGCGCTAGAAATAAGTAAAACCAATTTTAAGTTACCTACGAGCTCGTTTTGGGTTTCAGTTTGTAGTTTTGAGTGTAGTATTCATTTTAGATTTTGTGTTTTGAGTGTCCATTTTGAAATTATTAAAAACGCGTTCGTTTTATTATTTTGAAAATTTGCTTTCAAAAAAAAAAAAAAATGAAGTTTTGACTTGATTTTAACTGAAAACAGTCTAAAAGACTTTTTTGAAGTTTTCGATTTTCTTTGTAAATTTTAAACTCGTTTTTAAAAGTTCGTTTATAAAAATAGGTAAGTAAAAGCGTTTTCAGTGTTTTCGAAAAATAAAAATTGAAAATGGTCTCAAAATAGTAAAGATAACTGCCCTTATTTTTCGTATTTACTTCTTAACAAAAATTATTTTTAGTATTTACTATTTAATAACAAAAATTACTTTTCTGAAAGGGAAGTCTTTCGATCATGCAAAATATGGACCTTTTGCATTATAATTTTGTGCATGTTTGGCAAAGTTTATAATATAATAAGGGTACATTTGATTCTCGTTATTGTAGAATAAGAATGAAAAATATAGTTATTATTGGAGCCCATATAAGATATAGAAATTCAAAATTGATGGTTTGATGTGATGAATAACGGTCATATTTTTCATTTCTATGAATGAAAAATGAGAAACAAACGGATACTTATTTATAAAATTTGGTATTGTATTGATGTAATTTTAAAACAACAGCTTTTTTTAATTTTTATTGTGCTAAAAAAAGAATCGAATCGATTAGGTATTTGATAAACTTTCATTGCATAATTAAACATCTTTATTCAAATAAATTTAGATTATTTTTATGTTTCAGATTTGTAGCAATTTGATTTTTCATTATTTTTGGAATACTAATAAACCTAGGAAAGAAAATAATTAATTAGTTATGGTTAAATTTGGTATTTTATTTATAGATAATTGGTGAAATTAAAAAAGAATCTGAAAAATGAAGTTTGGTTTTGTGTGGTATCACTCTATTCACTTAAGATGAATACTTCTCGATACGACACTGTAAATTACGGTCGTTATCGAAACTTCATGAATCATGAACAATGTGTTATATCTAATTGGCATATTGCTCCTTGCACTTCGTTTCGATTGAGAATGACCTTGTTTTTCCTTCAAAAAATTTCCACGTAGACAATGTGTGCACAACTACAAGTTGCACATCTGAAGCAACTACACTTTCATATCCCGAGTTCGAATTCCTCTGAATGCTCACAAACAACTATTCTATTTCCAAGATGATCACTTGTGTAGATAAAGATATGCTCCCTAATTTATTACATAGTTTAATGCATAGGACAGTAAAATGTCGTCTAGACTAACGATGATGGATGAATATCATTATTTTAAATTTAAATGTCATCTAAACTAACGATGACGGATGAATATCACTATGTTAAATCTAATTCATCCTTAAACTTGTGTAGAGAAACAATAAAAATATTTATTTTTTTATTTCTCTCAAACTAATTATTTCGAAAAGAAAATTAATCCTCCAAAATGCTAATAGGGGAGAGAGAGCACCTTTCTCCTATTTCCACTCTCCTCCATTCACTATTCAAGTTTTTTCAATGGATTTATGGACCAAGAATGACAAACCATAGAAAAAAGCACGACAAAAAAGAATTATCTCAATTCAATTTTCTATCATTTCTTCTTCCCTGGTTCCATTTTTCCAACAAATTCTCTCCTCCATGGATGCCAGGACCTGTTCTGATTCATAACCATAGAAAAAAGGAATCGAAAACCAGTTGAAGGAAGTTTTCGTTTCACTCTAATACAGGCGTACAGGAAGACCTAGTTGTAATCCGTTTTCAAAAGATTTGGTTTCCTGTACGCCATTTCCTTCTCCATTTCATGCAACCATGCACACAAATATAGAAATTTTGTTGTTAATTTTAAGCCTGTTTTCATTTTCCATTGCCATTTATGCATCAGAAAGTAAAAATCCGAATTCGTTGTTGTTGGCTTGTGGATCTGAAAATGGTGGGAAAGATTCAGATGGCCGGGCCTGGGAATCTGATAAGAAATATTTGGTGAAAGGTGAAAAATCTGTTGAGACAAAGGCTGAAATCCAAGATCCTTCGTTATCTGCCGTAGTCCCATACATGACGGGGAGAATTTTCACGTCTGAAACAACGTATCAACTCCCCGTTCAAAATGCGACCTCACGTACTTTGCTTCGACTGTATTTCTACCCATCTTCTTACCCGAATTTCAACATTTCCAATTCCTATTTTTCAGTTGTTGCTGGTGAAGTCACCCTTGTGAACAATTTCAGTGCTTTCTTAACCGCTGAAGCATTGTCCCAGGCTTATTTCATAAAGGAATATTTTCTAGCCCCATTAGAATTTTCCACTCTTAATGTCACTTTCAAGCCATTTGATAAACAGCCACAAGCTTTCGCTTTTGTCAATGGCATTGAGGTCATTTCAGCACCAGAATTATTCAGTGAGGAACCGGTAGTTGTCGGGACCGGTGAAGTCACTGAGAACTTAGGTTGGGATGCTGCCACTACAACTGTTTCCCTGGATGGTATCAGTTTCGAAAATATGTATAGATTGAATGTTGGCGGGCAATATATTTCACCGACAAATGATTCCGGGGGCCTAACACGTAGCTGGTACGATGACACCCCATATTTGTATGGTGCTACCACAGGAGTCGCGGATAAGGCCGATGTGCCCGTTGGGTACAAAGGCTTACCGTCCTACACTGCACCATTAGACGTCTACACAACATTTCGAAATATTGGTCCTTATGCAGATTTAAACAAGGGCATCAACATGACATGGAGATTCCAGGTTGACCCCAACTTCATGTACCTTGTCAGGTTGCATTGGTGTGATGATGAAATGACCAGAACTAATGAAAGAGTTTTCGATGTATACATCAACAATCAGACTGCAGCAACTTCAGTCGACCTGTTTGCCTGGCAGAATTCTGTTGCAAGTCCTACCATGAGGGATTATGCAATTAGAGTTTCCAACAAGAGCAGGGATGCAGAATTATGGCTGACTCTCCGCCCAAATGTTAAAGAGAGCCCTTTATATGTCGATGTTCTTTTGAATGGATTGGAGATATTTAAACTAAGTAAATCAAATCTAGCAGGACCTAATCCAATAATTTCAGATATGATGAGGAAGTACCAGGAAAAACAAGCAGCAGCGCCAAAGGCTTTTGCTCAGAAGAGTACCACCACTACCATGGCCCTAATCACAGGTGCTGCTGGCGGAGCTGCAGCTTTTGGGGTGGCGGCCGTCATTTTTCTTGTTGCCCACAAGAAGAAAAAGAGAGTCCCTGGAGATGCCACTAGTTGGTTACCAATTTCCTGGAATTCTAGTACTACATCAGGGGCAAAATCATCTGTTTCTGGCAAGAGTCAAGGCAGCAAGACGATTTCTTCTGATGCTGCAAGTAATTGTCGCTATTTCACCTTAGCCGAGATAAAAAATGGCACAAAAAATTTTGACGACTCCAATGTCATTGGGGTTGGTGGATTTGGGAAGGTATACAAAGGAGTAATCGATGGAGATACCAAAGTTGCAATAAAGAGATCAAATCCATCTTCAGAACAAGGAGTTAATGAATTCCAGACAGAAATTGAGATGCTTTCCAGGCTGAGGCACAGACATTTAGTGTCCTTGATCGGATTCTGTGAAGACAATGGGGAAATGATTTTGGTTTATGATTACATGGGAAAGGGGACTCTAAGGGAACATCTTTACAAGGGAAATAAAATCACTCTTTCCTGGAAACAGCGGCTGGAAATTTGTATTGGGGCAGCCAAGGGACTTCATTACCTCCACACCGGGGCAAAGTACACCATCATTCACAGAGACGTTAAGACAACGAACATTCTTGTAGACGACAAGTGGGTAGCTAAGGTTTCAGATTTTGGGTTATCAAAAACAGGTCCCAACATGAACAAAGGCCATGTTAGTACTGTAGTGAAAGGAAGTTTCGGATACCTGGATCCTGAATACTTCCGAAGACAACAATTGACTGAAAAATCCGATGTATACTCGTTTGGGGTTGTTCTTTTTGAGGTACTGTGCGCTAGACCAGCTTTAAATCCAAGCCTGCCTAAAGAGCAGGTCAGTCTTGCCGATTGGGCATTACGTTGTGCAAGAAGCAAGACCCTCGAGGACATCGTTGACCCTGAACTGAAAGGAAAAATTACACCGGAGTGCCTGAAGAAATTCACAGAGACTGCAGAGAAATGCCTGTCAGATCATGGTGTTGACCGCCCTTCCATGGGTGATGTCCTCTGGAACCTCGAGTTCGCCTTGCAACTGCAAGAGAATCCCGATTCAAGCTCTACTGCAGACAGTGGAGGCAGTGACAGCGGCATGGATCATCAGAATGCCGAACAAATTGATCAGAACATCCTCATAGCTATGCATCGAAATACCTTAAATCTTGGAAGTGATGACGACGCAAATGACTCATCAGATGACAGCACTGACGATGTCTTCTCACAGATTGCCAATCCAAAGGGCCTTTGAAAATTGTCTGCTCACCGTCTTGTATTCATTTTATACTAGTGTTCATGCTAGCAAAACAAAATGCTACTTAGCCTCATATTTAAATCATGTAAAGCAAATCGCATTTCCTTTTTATATACATTCTATATAATTAATATGTTACCGTATTGTAAAACGTTTTTGCTTTTGAATTATTTCATTTTTGTAGTTTAGAAACATTTCAGGCGAATTTGCTTTCCTTT